ACTTGGAAGACCACCCAGCAAGCTAAGCGATACAAACAAGTCCTAATCGATCTGCAGTAGTGCTCCCTCCAAGCAGAGGGTGAGCACTACTGCAATCCAGAATCATAATGTCTAAGTAGTCGAAGGGACCCAAGAATGATAGCTTTTTGCATCTGACCAGCCAGTATTAAGGCATTGCGCCTGCAGGCTGGAATCACCTCAAGCGCAGATACAAAAGACCTCAAGCGCAGATACAAAGACTGTTTCATGCCGCCAAGAGAGCCAATGATCAGGACGATCAGCTTGACCCTAAACGCGCGGTTCAACTGACGCAGCTCAAACAGGAGCAGCTGGTATTTGAGCCGTTTCTCCTCTTCCTTCGCAGATATATTGCTCTCGGCTGACGCCGAGAACTCAATCACGTAGATGACTTTGTCTTCAAAGTCGAAGAGGACGATATCAGGCTTCGCCGCAGCGACGGGCCTGATAGTCGCAAACGAGAAGTTCCAGTAAATCTTACACCTCTCATTCACGACAACGGACTCAATATCTACTGGAGCATAAGGCAAAATCGGCGTCCGGTCTATCCCATAAGAGCGCCGCAGATGGTAATACAACACTTTCAAAGCCGCGTTATGACGGTGGATATAACTCGTCACTGCATATGTCGGGCAAGCCGACAAAAGATGCATCAGAGTTTCCGGGGACTGTTTGCAAGCCCGACACCTAACATCCGGGACTTGCAACCCCATAACACGGCTCCTATAGACCAAGGTGTTTATCACGCCATCTTGACACGCGCAAATGAAGCCCTCGGTTTCAGACATCAAGCCAGCCGACTTCAAAAATGAGAAAGTCAGCTGGACGGACAAGCTCTGTTCTTCCACATGACGAAAAAACACGCCATGCATGGGCCTGTCAACGTGTAGACGAAGCAAGGTGGACTGTTCCGCCTCCTTAATGGTCGCTCTTCGCCGAGATTTAGTCATGCTGGCCAATGAATGACTAGCCAGCTGACCACCTCGGCCACGACGAAACTCCAACCCGAGAGCCTCAGCTGCGGTATCCGCCGCCTTGTAGAGAAAGGCCTGAATCCCATGAAGCTCATGATCGTGCACAAACTCCAAGAGAGGATCCAAGCCGTTCATCACGTCACAGGCCAAGCCGAGGACCAAGCGCTCATGGGGAGATTCTAGGCTGAGTAGTCCTCGGCCACCACTGTCACGCGGGAAGTATAAACGGGGACATGAAGATCAGGGATGTAGGCTCCTGTGGATGTTCATTAGCTTACGAGTATCCCTGTCCAACTGCTTCAGCTCATCCCTCCTCCATTGGAGCACGCCAAAGGAGTACAAAAGAACTGGAACAGCGAACATGTTTGTCGCGGCCACATTGTTCTTTCCGGAAAGTTCGGACTTCCAAACTCTCCGAAGCCGCCGACGATACTCCTCACGAAGAGTCTCTTTGACCGCCTAGCGTCCACTACGGATCGCTGATTGAAGCGAAGATACCTATACGACTCCTCAGCGTCAAGATGTCTAATGACGCTTCCATCCACCAGTTGTATCTCTTCCATCCCGTCGCCAACCTTCCCCCTCTTCATGTGGAAGACTACGCATTTGTCCAACCCAAAGCTCATCCCGACCGCGCGTACACTGCAACAACATCAAGCTGGAGCTTGAGTTGCCGCTCTCCTGAGGCAAATAACTTCAGGTCATACATATAGAATATATGGCTAACCTGATGCCTCCGATCGCCAGGTCTTCCGGGTTGGTATCCACCAACACCGCGCAAGGCGACAGATAGGGGCATCAGTGAGATGCAGAACAATAGAGGACTCAAGGTATCGCCCTGTATTTTTTGAGGGATCTGGATTTGTGGAGGTATTGATGAAAAAATGTGTGCTTGCGGAGAGTAGTGAGCGGGTCACAGAATGAACGGAATACGTGCACGTGGTTTTACAAAAAAACGTATAATTGTCAATAATAATGTTTATTTTACACTTGTCACAGGTAAAGTCACTGAGTAAATTCAACTAAAGAGCGGACTGAATTCTTTGAATAGATAATAACTGAGCTGACACGATTATTTATTAATCCGATTACGCGAGAATTGAGCGGTACAAAGAGAAGTTCCTTTAACGAATTCCCGGAAACGAATGAGAGCGAGACACGGGCTTATAGGTGCCACGTGCCCTAATTTTGTGGTCACATGACCTTTTCCATTATAATTCGTATGGTAATTTAGAGCGGTCCAGGAAGTGGCGCCTCAGGTGCTGGAATTAATAACCCCCAGTCATCTGAGGTGAGCGCGTCAGGTGTGCGTGAGTGGGGAGAGAATGGATGAGCCTTGCGTGCGTTAGTGTGAGGGACCTGTCAGCTGACAGGATTTCCAACA